GCCAATGCACCATGGCCAACATGCCATGGTCAACTCATCACAGTCAACTTGGCATGGCCAACTAGCCAAGGCCAATCACCATAGCCAATGCACCATGGCCAACATGCCATGGTCAACTCATCACAGTCAACTTGGCATGGCCAACTAGCCAAGGCCAATCACCATAGCCAATGCACCATGGCCAACATGCCATGGTCAACTCATCACAGTCAACTTGGCATGGCCAACTAGCCAAGGCCAATCACCATAGCCAAAGCACCTTGGCCAACATGCCATGGTCAACTCACCACAGTCAACTTGGCACGGCCAACTAGCCAAGGCCAATCACCATAGCCAATGCACCATGGCCAACATGCCATGGTGAACTCACCACGGCCAACTTGGCACGGCCAACTAGCCAAGGCCAATCACCATAGCCAATGCACCATGGCCATCATGCCATGGTCAACTCACCATGGTCAACTCGCCATGCCAAACTCGCCAGGGCCAACTCGCCAAGGCCAAGTTGCCGTGGGACAAGAATTGCATTAACATTGAAGAAACAGTGGAATGGAATCATTAAAGAAAGGAGGCCCAAGGGGGGGGGGGGACAAAATAAAATGTGAATGACAAAAAATAAAATTATTTTAAATAATTGAATTGCTGACTTGTCCCGCAGCGAGTTATCCTGGGGCAGGTTGGCCAAGGCAAGTTGACCATACAAGTTGTCCCATTTCGTCCTCATTTGTACCCTTCCTAGAAGCCGATGGGGAAATTCCCCGTTTTCTAAAGAGCATCAATGACCCCCCACAGAAGAGTTCTACAGCTTGAAATGTTGGTTTCTCCCTCCATGAAGGATGCGGTGATATGATCTCAGGAAGTCATACCTTCCTCTTTTCTGCTCCGTAAAGCGCAAACTAATTCAACTAGATCCACATCACAAAATGGGAGGGATCTCCTGGATTTGTGACCATTTCTCCGAAGCGGTTATGTAATGCCGATGTGTCTTTATGCCACCATTTATCAACTTTGGCCACTTGGAAGATGCCTGGACTTCAGCTCCCAGAATTCTCCAGCCAGCTATGCTGGGAGTTGAAGTCCATCCTTCTTCAAGTGGCCAAAGTTGATCAACACTATTTTATGCCAATGATTCTTATCTCCTGCATTCTCAATTTAACAGAATGCAGTTGAATATAAAGAAAAAGACCTATAGACATACAACATTGGTTTGGGGGCGATGTTTCGACGAGACAACATTAAACATGTTTCCTGACATCACGGTATAAACCAGAAACAAAGCAACTGGAACAGAGGTGGGTTCCTACCAGTTTGGACCAGTTCGGCCGAGTACAGAGTAACTTGGCCGCCCTCGCACTTAAACCAGTTCAATTGTCGGTGCCGCCATCTTTATTTTTCCTTCTGCGCATGCGCAGCACAATCTCCATTGCAGAAATGTAATTTTCTTCCCCCTTTTCTTACGTCAGAACTTTTTAGGTGTAAATGCGCACGCAAAATTTGTTATCAGCAGTAATGCCAATAGGAACCCACCCCTGGATTGGAGAACTCAACCTTTTGGCTACTGGCCTACCCTACTCTTCTTTCCTGTAACTATTTGTTTTATGAAGAGAGAAGATTTTACAGAACGGATGAAAAAGGAAAAGTATTCTGGAGGGAGTGTAGTATTTTGGTACCTAACATTTGGAAATATTAAAGTATTATAGTGATGGGGAACATAAATCTTCAACCCACCTTCTCCGATACAATCGTAATACTCAATATTGAGAATTACGGCCTTCCACGGCCTTTCACTTGGAAATGAAGAATACTTGGTTGCAAGTAATAAATTTATACACTTTGATCCTGACCCCTTCCTTTACCCCCAATTCTGATGCAATTTGGTCCTCTCTTCAGCTTCATCAGCAGAACTTGGCTGAAGTCGGTGGAAGGGGCAAAGAAATGAGTGAGCAAATCTACAGCCCCCCCCAAGACCCTCAGAGGAAAAAAAGGCAGCAGCTGACCATCGCTGGACCCCAATTTTTGGCCTGCAGCTCGTTCCAAGGAGAGGGGCAAGGAAAAATGGCAAAGACGACGGACAGAGACGCAAATAATGGACCTAGACTGAGATGATACGACATTCCTTGTCCTAGTTTGGCAGGAATCCTCACTCAACGATAGAAAGCGAAAAGGCTTCTCATCTCCGCGACAGAAGAGAGTTGCAGACGGATGAGGAGAAGAACAAGTGGAGACCCTCATTCAGATCACGCACACACACACACAAACACGCACGCACACACACACACACACACACACAGAGGATTAAAACCACACACAGTTTCACAAAGCCACTTGACAGTACAGCACGCTTAATATTTACTTCTGGCATAATGCTCCTCACAACGCAAATTATGTTACATTTGCTAGTTAGCACACATTCTCTCTCTCTCTCTCTCTCTCTCTCTCTCTCTCTCTTTCTCTCTCTCTCTCTCTTTCGTTTTTCCCCCATGAGGATTCAAGAGTTGAATTCAAGGAGAAACTTCTCCGGATCGTTCAGACGTTCTCCTGAAGCCACCTGAAGAGGGTTGGGCTTCCCAGGGTCCTGTCCCCATCGCTAGACTTCTCCATGGCTTCACAGTATTTCAGGACTGCCTGGAAGAGGTCTCCCACACGCCAGCCTTTCTCCTGCAAGGTCTTCGAAAGCTAGAAAGGGG